GCAGTGGGCGGCGGGGCGGGAAGGGAAGCGGTGGCAACAGGTTGCTGCAGCAATCAAGGGCAGTAGTTGAGGGCTGGAGCACCAACAACTAGCAGCAACTGGTAAGCAACAGCGGCGACGGAGGCCAGCCATGGCGACCGGTGAAGGCAATGCCGTGGGTGGTCACAATTGTTGAAGCTGGTGCAATGGTCACCACTATTTACAGTGTATTTGAAACCCAAATCTAATCAAATGCACTCAAAATGAATTATCGGCTGCATTTGAAATCATGCTTCAAAATGCATTTTCGTAGTGAAGCGAAGCTTTGCACTATGTGTCTCTAGTTTGAAAGCATGCATGTCGCACCACTATAACATGTTGCATTGTAGCGTTGTGCGCTCGGCTTCGAATCATAGAGAAATCATGGTTCAAATTTCATGATTTGATTTAGCAATGATCATAATAAATAGACACAAGTGTTCACTCCATCATTGAGCCATTGCTCGCTATTTCTAAATTTTTTTTCCTTCCAAGAATCTTTTTGGTTGTTCTTCTCAACACTCGATCTTGCTTGTGGATTCGTATTTGCTTCTAATGAGTTCTTGTTGGTACAACTTCTCAAAAATAACTATAGATGCATCATATTCATACTCTCTCACTTCACATGCCTACACTTCTTACTCAATAACAGGCCACTCAAGTCTCAAAATTACCGTTGATATTTTAGTATTATTTCGTCACTTGATTATTTATGTGGTATTTTATTTTAGTAGTTCAAATAGTTGAAAATTACTATTATTTAGCATGATATATTTATTAAAAATTATCACCAAATGTGGTTTAAATTTTATTGATAAAATGACATCTTGTACGAGCATATTATATGTACATATGAAATGTAAAACATAAACACTAGTTCATAAAAGCGCGGTTTTGCTCAGCGCTTTGCATGTTTAAATAAGAATCCACTGTGCTTAACACATTCAACACTACTTACATAAACATCCTCATAAACAAAACAAATGGATACAAATTTAATGTTAATCCTTGTTATACATCTTGTGATCGAAAATCTATTAATCACTCCATAAATATTTCTAATACTAATCATTCCTCCAAAAATATCTATGATAATTTTAACACTTTGCTACAAATACTTTTTTTCATTAAAGTCATTAAAGTGAAATGAATATATTCGTGATAGGGTTGGTGTAGCTCCAGTGACGGACAAAATTAGAGAGTTGTCTTAGATGGTTTGGTCACATCGACCATCTGATGATCCGATTAGGAGAGTACATGTTTTAGTTGTTGTTATTGTTGTTATTGCTGTTGTTGTAAAGTCAACCAAATCAATTATTCAGGTATAGACAGGATCGCAGATTCAAAAAGTAGTCAGATTACTTTGGAAACAATCGTGCAAAACTTCAGGAACTAATCCGGCAACACTTCATAACACCACTCTCCTCAAACAAGTTGTGCTGGTTGCTGAATGGATCTTAAAATAAACATCACAGCAGCAATGAAACACGTTTACGAATGGTACATTGAGCAGACACATTCACCATAATTCCAGTAAACAACAATATTTCCTCAGAACCATCCTTCAAGATCACTATCAATGTTAGCTTGAGAGTCTTCTTCCTCCAGAAACTGAAAACAGGGCAACATCTAGATTGTGCTAGAGCTGCTGATTTCAATTTTTAAGTTTGAAAAAGTTCAGGTTAAACCAGACCAGACCTAGACAAGTCGAGTCCAATCAAATGAAAAAAAAAAATATTTATTCTCAATCAAATAGACACTCAACCAAGTGACTTCAAAAGGAAAATCAAGATCATGATCTTGATTTACACCATAGGAAGTAGCCATAATTGATGAACTCAAACTAAATATCATGTAACTGCATTGCAATAAGTTCATGATTTTCTTCAGAATTCAGCGATTCTGCCCTTGTTAAGTTAGGTTCATGCTACTCTCATTTCAGCCATTGCTATCATTGTTTAAAAAGGCTTTCGACGCTTACGCCTTGAAGCTTTCCTCGAACTGAGGCGCACAAAAAAAAAGCCTCCAGACTTAGGCCTTGCCGTCACCTGTAAGGCTTGCGTCATTTACATCTAAGGCGTGCACCTCACTCGAGTTATACAAAAAAACATATTATGTTTATTATATTATATTATTAATACATATTGTATTATATTGAATTTATTATATCTAATACAATACCTTAAAAAAGTCAAGATATAATTTAAGTATGATTAAATGATTATATTATTAATTCATTCTTTTGTTTTAAATTATATTGGATTTTAGATTAATTGATAGTAAGGAAAAAATTGTACTTGATGAAGAATATTTCAAAGTTACAAATGAGATATAATTAGCCGATAACAAATATAATGATTCTTTTGAAAATGATGAAAGCAAATGAAGAGTCCAATATTGATCTTGAACCTCATGAAATATTTAAATTTTAAGTGAATGTTCACATTGAATTATATTTCAAACTTCTATTTTATATCAATATTTAAGATTAAAAGTTGTGGTTGTCTTTATGATGATAAATTAAATCAACACAATAAGTTATATGATAATTATAAATTATTTTTAATTTTATGAGTTATTTTCTTTTTTGGGACTTACACCTCGATCTGAATCAAGGCTTATTTCTCACCTAGCTAGAGCAAAATGCCTCAATTTCCAATTTAGCTTTTTAAACTTTGGTTGCTATTTATCTAAATTGTCGCACCTTTGGATGGGTCATTAGAGTAGTAGCCCTCAAACATCAAAGCAAAGTGCACATTTTTATTTTAGGCATCAACTAGTTAACTGATTCACAAGTAAATAAAATCAAGTTTATACTACTCCAATTAATAACAAAAAAATTAAAACTAATCAAATCAAAACTTTTTTGTAAGCCAAAAATAACTGCCAACATCACTACTAACTATCAACAAGCACCAGGAGTCCGGGGTCAACAATATTTTTTCATCAAGAATAAAGATATCAAATGGGTTATAAGCTATTAAAAAAAAAAGGGTACTAAGCACTGCAAAATCTTTCCCAAAAGAATCCTAAATGTGTTTTTTGTCAACTTTCTCAAGCTTTGTTTTATAAACCAATGTGCTGTTGCCTACAGCTATCTTACTACTAAGAAATTGTATGGTGAGGAATTCTTCGGTCAAATCTGCTACAGTATGGTTAGTTGTAAGAAGCTGCCTTTTTTCTAAAGAAAAAAATTCTATAAAACCCACCATAGCTTTCAAAAGTCTAAATATTAGTTCTACAAATAATTTTACATCCAACTATAGTCGTCCCAAACGAACCCTAAAATAAATTTTAAGAAGAATAGAAAAGTGTTCTATTTTTTTCATCCAAAGAAATATTACTTTTTACTAACTGCGTAGCCAATAAAAAAAAATTAGAAGTTGTTACAAAAGCCTAAAATTTTAACTAACTGGCTTATGAGAATGCCCATATTGCTGGTTATAAATAGCAGAACCGAGTTGGTCCATTCATGTCAGAAGACGAAAATGACAAAATAGAATCTACAACACGTGTAAAATAAAATTAACAGTGTTTTAAAACTATACTCATACCTGCAACAGCACCTATGGTTTTACCCACATTTGGCAGGCTAAGCTCCGTTCGAACACCTTCTCCACCAACAGCCGGACCCCAAGAAAAGGGTCCAGCACTCAAATCAATAAACATCCACCTTGAACAGAACCCGCACAGCATTCAATACTCAGCTTGATGAAGCAGAATTAAAATTTATCCAAGGAATTTACCTATTTGGTCCAATCCAAGTATCTGTGAGACACTCAGCTTGGAAACCTGTAAAATCCCCCAACTTTAGCCCTTCTAGCAGTAGATCACTCAAATCATCCTTCTTACCATGCAGCATCTACATCGTAAAAAACAGTGATGAACTAATCTGGCATTTACAGGTGAGAATTCTTGCAGAAAGAAAGAAAATACCTGAATGACTTTGTGGGAAAGAAGTTCTACATCATCCTTTCCGTCGTTTGATGAAGTAACATGAGTCAGGACATCAGAGCACCTTTTCGACCATTCAACCTGACGAAGAAAACAGCACCAAAAATTGAATGGGTCAGATAAATACATACACCCAATTTCTAGGTGTTTACATATCTAACACCTAAACTTTACTTTTTACATTTATACCTCCCAAATCTTTCATATCAAATAAAAAATACCACCATTTTTACTTTTAAAAAGTGAAATACACCTTTCCCCTATAGGAAAGGTGGCATATATATATATATATATATATATATATAATTGAAGTATAGGGGTTAATTATGTAAATACATAGGAATTGAGTAGTATGTATACAAATCTTCCAAAGTATAGGGATTTACCGTTAGGAGGATTTAGTAAATCCGTAAATTATAAATTTGTTAAATCCACTCTCCGGTTAGATTTAGTAAATAAGGATTTAAGCTCAAACTACTGCAAATTCAATACCTTAAATCTGAAAATTCATAAATCCACAGAACTCATGTATTTTAGTGTTTGGCTAGATTTCATAAATCCGGTGATAAATCCTATTAAAATGCACTACCAAACACCCCCAAAATATAAGGACGGTGAAAGATATAGTGAAAGACATCCAAAGAGTAGCTTCATCGCAACAACGCCATAAGCATAATAACATACAAAGATTTTTTTTTTCTCTTTTAAAATTCAAAACATAGTAAGGCTAGTTCAACGGCAATGAACAACAAAGGCAGCATTCACATGTATGTAATGAATTACTACGCTGCAATATTTAAAAGAAAATAATGATAAAGAAGCATAAGAATGGTTGGTGGTAAACCTTGTAACATGTTGAGTTCTTAAGTGCTTGAGTCAACACATAAAAGGAAATAACATTAAAAATGATCCAAGAACTTACAGTGTCAATTTCTTCAGTGGTAGTCCACACAAAATTTGAAGCAGGTCGGTTCACATACAATGGCCTTGAATCAGTCTTGTCGATTTCTGTGAAGGGAAAAAACAAACATCATGCAGTAAATTTTCTTATCCTGACAAAAAATTATGAACTAGTATTATAAGTGTAGAATTCACATGAGGAGAAAAATTGCTAAATCTATTATTCACAAATAGGGCACACAAATAAAAGGAAATAAATCTCTCCTTATTTACAAACTTACCAAATATATCTAACCTAAATTAGAAAAGGAAATAATAGTGAAATAAAAATAGAATAACATAAAATGGAAAGGGATAAACTAATCAAAAATTTTCTAAGTTGTCCCAATCAAATCCTCCAAAATTTGGAGGTGGTCGTCTGGCCCACAAGAGAGAGGAAAGAAGAGAAAAAGTCGGATCTTCTCAGATTTCCACACACCTCAAGTTGGGTCATAGATGTTGAAGAAACAAAGCTTGGTATTGAATACTGAGAAGGTGCTTAAAAAAATAGTTTTGGTGAAAACAACAATTTATTGGTGTGTCGGGACGTGGCTTAGTTGTACTCCCCTATCAACCTTTAAGAGATGAAGTGTCTATCAATTTCAATATGTTTCATCTTGCCATGATGCATAAGATTTTTTTGCAAAACTAATAGCTGCTTAGTTGTCACAAAATATTTGTATAGGCGTATTGAAAGTACTTCCCAGTTTCCTTAACAATTTTTTAATTCAAATCCCTGCACAAATTCGCAAGGCGAGTGTCATATACTCTAATTTTGCACTGGTTCTAGAAACACCACTTGCATTTTACTTCTCCATGTCACTAGATTTCCCCAACATAGAAGCAATAACCTATGGTGGACCTTTTATGATCGAGTTCCCTAGCCCAACTAATATCAATGTAGACTTCCACCTCTTTGTTTCAATTTTTCTCAAAAATTAATTCATAAAGAGGAGTCTGCTCGAGAAGCATAGGAATTTAGTACACCATCTTCAAATGCTCTTCATTTGAATTATTCATGTTTTGGCTTACAATACTAACAAAGTATGCAATATCAAGCATCAAATGTGATAGTTAGATCAGTTTTTCTATCAATTTTTTATATCTTCCCTTATCCACAGAGAAGTTTTCTTCTCCCCTCTTCGACTTTTGGTTGAGATCCACTGGAGTTTCAACGGACATACATCCAATCATCCATGTCTCCCTTAGTAGATCTAGGATGCATTACATACCTAGAAAATATATCATAGTTCCTTGGTTCTTGATTTCAAACTCCTTGGCAAGCAATTATTTGATCTTAAGAATCTCTCTTTCATCATCACCAGTAAGAATCATACCATCCGCATATGCTATCAGTGCAGCAATCTTATATCCTTAGTTTGTATTACTAACAAAGTATAATCAATTTGATTTTGAGAATACCTATTAGATATGATAGTATTAGAAAACCTTTCAAACCACACTCTTGGTGATTGTTTAAGGCCGTAGAAAGACTTTCTGAGTTTACGTACTAGGAGTTTGTTGAAATTATTCTTAAGTCGTGATAGTATCTCCATATAAACTTTTTCTATATCCTCATTTAGGAAGGCATTTTTTTATTTCAAGTTGATTCAGCCACCATTCCTTATGAAATATGAACTTTGATAGTGTTAAGTTTGGAAAGTGACGTGAAGGACTTCTGATGTTCTGAGTTTACGTACTAGGAGTTTGTTGAAATTATTCTCAAGTCGTGATAGTATCTCCATATAAACTTTTTTTATATCCTCATTTAGGAAGGCATTTTTTTATTTCAAGTTGATTCAGCCACCATTCCTTATAACCTACTACAGAAATATGAACTTTGATAGTGTTAAGTTTGGAAACTGACGTGAAGGACTTCTAATGGTCGATCTTATAGGCTTGAGTAAAACTTGTTACAACAAGTCTTGTTTTGAATCTCTCAATACCACCATGAACTTTGTATTTGATGTTGAACACTCATCTGTATCCAATGGGCTTCCTATCCTGATGGAGTTTAGTCAGTATCCATATATCATTATGCTTTAGAGCTAGAATCTACTCTTCAAATGCTTTCCTTCGATCTGAATTTTCAAGAGCTTTGTGAATGAATTTAGGAATTTACATACAATCAATGTTAGAAACAAAAGCTTTGTAGGATGAGAATAGTTTCCCAAAGGCTATATACTTTTGAATTGAATATCTAAAGCAGCTTTCCTGTCACCAGCATTAAAAGAGGAAGGGGATAACTCATGAGTACTAGACTATCCTCACCCAAAATTTTGAATGTGAACTTGGGTTTTAGTTGGAGTAGTTCTATTTTGCAAGTTACTTTTCACTTGCTCAAGTTTTTTCTTCCTCCTAACATACACAAATAGTTTTTTTGTTGTGAACTTCAAGTTGGATTGGTTGAATATCCTCAAAAAAAAGAGAGTTAGATTAAAAAGTAAGTGGGTTTGTCGTGTAGATCAAGTGCATCCCAAAATTGATATTCATTTGCACTCTCTACATAAAAATCAAATTTGAGATAATATGATTGATTTTCAAAAATTGTGACATACATGGGGTTGTAGTATTTTCTAATAACATAAAAGTAACGCTTGTACACTTTTTTGTTGGAGGCATGCACAAGGAAAATACAATTGATAGATTTATGATAATGTTTTGTGCGAGTTGAAGAATGGATGTGAACAAAGGATACACACCCAAAGATCTTAAATGGGATAGTAGGAGAGGAGAGCTTTGATGTGTGGATAGGTAACCACCAAAATATGAAGTGGTGTTTTGAAGTTACACGGCTAGGTATTCGATTGATAAAATATATTGCTGTAAGAACTGCTTCCCTTCAAAAATATTTTGAAATTTGAGGGAAAATCATAATTGAATGGGATACCTCAAATAAATATTTGTTCTTTCTCTTTGCCATCTCATTTTCTTGTGGGATATCAATACATGAATGCACATGGATGACTTCAGTTTTTGAAAGATAGTGCTCAATGATAGAATTGAAATATTCCTTTGCATTATTAATTTTAAGTATCTGCATGTCATATTGGAGTTGAATTTGAATCATGACATGGAAGGTTTGAAAGATTTAGGTTGTTTAAAATTTTTACTTCATTAGGAATTCCCAAATTGTTTTAGTATGATCGTTAATAAATGAGCAAGCCCTCTAGCTCCACTTAGCGTTTTCACCTTTGAAGGTTCTAAAATATCATTGTGGATAATGAAAAAAGATATGAGAACCTAAGGGTTAATATTGAGTCATGGGAGATTTCTAGTGTATTTGGCAAGTAGACAAATCTTACATTAATAAAAATTAAATTTTTTATTTATAAACAAATGTGAAAAGAACTTAGCAATAAAATTAAAATTAGGATGGTCCGAACAACAATGTCATAACATGACATGTTTTTCGATAGACATGGACTCAACAAACTCAAAAATTTAGGGACATGAAGATGTGATTAGTTGTGTGCTTAGACAGAGATTTTTCTTAATCATGTATAAGTCTTGATGCATTTCAGCATTGTCAATCACCTTTCACAATTCCACCACCTGAAATTAAAAAAAGTTTGTAAGGAACTTAGTTATAAATTTCATACCATAAATAAGATTACTGATTGAAATTAAATTGTAGTACAATTGTGGGGCATATAAAATGAAGGAAAGGGTGGTATCCTGAAAGAGTTACACATCTCCTTTCCCAACAATAATTGAGTGTGATCTGTCTACAAGTCTTACCGATCTAATTGTAAAAGCCTCTTGATAATTGACTAGAGCATTGATGTCACAATTCATATGATCAGAGGCTTAATAACCTACGATCCAAGTTTTGAATCTCCCATTACTCACAAGATGGGAGAACAATAAAATACATTGGTGTGTCACAAGATTTGTGTGATGCTCTGAATTACATCCAAGGGGTTTCTACGGTACTTCAAGCTGCTACTTGGTAAATAATTTCATCGACTTTCGAATGTGGTAGCAACATTAGTCTTTTTCTCTTGATTTTTCCTCCTCTATCCAGGTTTCCAGTTAGCATGCTTTCCATATGGTTTCTGACATTCGTCTGTCATAACCTCAATCTTCTTGCAAAAATCACGTGTGAGACGGTTCTTTTGTTTTGAGTTATGGGTGTATAGGGCTGAACTTTCAGTATTTAGCGAACCCCCATTTTTTATCAGCATCATCTACTTCCTGCTCTCTTCTCTCTACACATTAGCAAAGGCTCCACGGGGGATGAAAGAAGCGTTGTTCCCATGATCTTCCCTCGTACCTCTTCCAATTCTAGAAATAGTCCTACTAGGAATTTAATGGTTTTCTTCTTCTCAATGATAGATTTAAACGTCACGACATAATGTGAGCATTCCCATACATGCATCTCAAACATATCTAATTGTAGTCAATACTTTTTCAAAGTGTTGACCTATTGGATGACACTTAGCTCTCCTTGATGAAGGTCATGAAGCTTGATTTCAATCTCAAACAATTCTATAGTGTTCTCAGTTTTTTAATATATTTCTCTTGCAGCCTCCCAAATTTCTCTGGCAGTTTTGTACAGCAAAAAAATCCTCATACTTCAGTGATCATTAAGTTGACTAACCAAGATATAATTATATGTTCTCGATTTTTCCAAGTGTAGTCGTTGACGTCAATGATCTCAGGAACTGTGTCCTCTATTGTGAGATGTTCATCATTTTATTTACCACAAATGTACATAAACACTGATAGAGACAATGAAAGGTAGTTATGGCCGTTAAGTTTATAATTTTTTATGAAGTTATAGAGTTAAGAGTCATTTGAACGGAATCTCTAGTCTCTGACTTAGAATTCACCTCTGAAGTAAAACCTACCACTCTTCATCTCGTACTTTGTCATCATCACTACGCGTATTTAGCATTGCTTATAGTTGCTGGTTTGAAATTGATCACAGTTGTTGCTTCTGTTTCTGCTAGCTGTGGCCAGTGCTACCGGTACTTCTGTTGGCTCCTGAAAGATGCTTCTACCGGAGGAGAAGGGCTGTAGCAAGAAGATATCAAGCTGCAGATTGAATCCAGTGGTAGAGGGGCCTACAGCAGGGAGATTTTTCTACTGCAGGAAAAAAATAGAGTAAGGGTCGCGAAAACCCGATTGAAGAGGTTTCGGCTGTCCTGCAAGGAAGGAGGTCTGGCGTTAAAAGGAAGTCTGGTGCTGAAAGGAGGTCTAGGGCCAAAAGGAGTTTCGGCTCTAGAAGCTTGCCAAGCTCTGGCAAGGAGGAGTTTCGGCTCTAGCAGGAAGGGCCTAAAGCAGCTTTCCTAAAAGATTTTTATTCTCTAAAATAAAATTTAAAAAGGGTGTTTAGCCGCATAATTCCATACTAAACAGCAGCATTTGTAAAAGCCAAGCCACATAAAATCAAGCATATGGTGAAGAAAAGATGTGCAACACAAGTTACATGCTTGCCTTAGTAAATAAAACACTGCCTTGAAATGAAAAAAGTTGAACGTTGTTACCACTAGCAAATGGGGAGACAAATTTTAGTATAAGCAGCAGTGTTGACTAAAGTTGATACAAAAAAATAGTTTAATCAAAAGCACCTAAAATAAGTCTACTGAAATAAAAGATTACTCATTTAATAGGTCTGTTCAGGGTTTAAACTTCAAACATAAAATTTGTCGTAAGCTTGGTACTAATTACATAGGAATTAATGGACTAGTATACTTGATAAAAACGGGAAAAAAAAATCAAAAACAGAATGACAGGAGGCATAAGGCATGCTGCCACTTACCAAGAGTCGGCCCTGTAACATGCTCTGACTGAAGAATTTTGGCCTGCAGTGTCTTATTCTAGAGAATAAAAGATACTTTTACCACCAAAATGATAGAGAAAAAACATTAAAAAAAACAGATATGAGAACCTAAAACAAACTTATTGGAATCAATTGATAAAAAAAAATAAATAAGTACTTCTTAATAAATTTATAGTGACGCTCTATTCTAAAAGAAGTTTGGTTCTTATAAACAAGCATAAAAAGCTTTCACTTATTTTCTCAATGCTTTGGGGCCCTCTGAGATAGAAGCGTCAATTCCTTCAGAGCCATGCATCCAAATGCCTCTATTTGCTGTCAAAAATTTTCTATATTCTACAAGGATAATTGGAAAACTTTTATGTACAAGTAGGTCAAGAGTGAAGCGGATCTTTGAAAAAATGAATCTTTCACCTTTTCCCATTCTTAATATTTCTTTTGAAGCAAATGAATTTAGTGGTTTAACCCAAAAAGATTAAATTTCTTAGTTTTTCATACCATTCACATTCTAAAAAGAAGTAATAAGCATGCCATAATAAGAATGGAATAAATATTGCTGAAAAAAAAACAATGAAAACAAAGACATTGAGAAAAATAACACTAGAATTAAAATGTATCTAGATTGAATAAACACCTAGGGTAAATCTCAACAAAAAATCTATTGTGTCAACTAAACAATAACGAACAAAAAAATGTTACAAATGGACAGCTTATTATTTAAAGTTAAAACAAAGAAAATTGGAAAAAGGAACAGTCCAATATGAGCAAGGGAATCAGATAGAGAAAATCAATCAAACATAAAGACGCTCATGTACCCAGCCCAAAACGAGTACCCACTAGGAAGTAATAACTGGCAGTATAGAACAATTGTCTGAGATGTGCATCAAGCCAAAGTTTCTGATGAGCAATGGCTCTCACATATGTATTTCAAAGTCAAATGCATATATTACATACCTAGACTCCAGAAGAATGACAAAAATTCAACATCATCTAGTAAACAAATTATTCATTCAAAGAAGTAGTATTTTAACAGAGCAGCATTTTTTTACTTGTTTTCCTTTTTAACATAGCTTTAAGTGTTCCTAGCGAAATTCCAGGCACGTGCAAAAAGCCACCGTGGAAGCCTTGTTGATATATGTTGATTTCCTTCGGAGCTTCTTCATCCTTCAATTTGTAATTGCATTAGTTATCCTTTTTCTTGAATGCACTATAGATATGGAAGAGAATTGAAGAGAGACCATTGAAAGGAAAGAAGAGTTAAGTATTAGGCAAGGAAAACAGTGTGTTTCTTCTTTTTGAGAGAAATCTAGAGACGCGTAAAATCAGACTTATGGAATCCCTAGGGGAGGATTATCCAGAATTGCAATTCACTGATGTGCCTAAAGTGCTTCCAGATGCATGTACGAGGAGTCTAAGTTTTGGATTTTTTATGAAGTGGGAGGGAGAAGTTAAGCAGTGGGACAAAAAGGGTCATTTGGCTTTCTTGGTGGGAGTTTACACGAGTGGGAAGCTTTGCCATTGGGCACAGCCAATATTAGAAAGTTGGGGTGGAAAAATTGATTTTAGTTGGATATAATGGTAGAAAGTTGATAGAGAAAAGGAGAAGGATATGGCTAGGGTTTAGTTTATAATATTGGCTAGGATATCAAATTGGCAAAGTTAAAGGAAAAAAAATCTCCTTATTGACTATTTTCTTTCTTTGAAATTGATTGCATTCTTCCTTAAACTCATAATTGGACGAGAGAGCCTAGATTTATGCATGTAGAGAGACTCTAAAGAGATGGAATAAGAAGATGCAGGTTCTTATAAAAACCCACAAGTCTCAAAAATCGAAGCCTTCTTGTATAAAGAAGGAGCAAACGATCTAACTAACCGCATAAGAACAAATAGTGATGGTTAAGAGAGGAGAAACAGAAGTAATAAACAGAAATTAAAAAAAAGCTTTCAAAGTTTTTCATAGTTAAATAGAATCCATCCGGCCCTGTTAAATAAAAATTGGGTTCACAAATTTTAATTTGAACTAAATCAAGATGATCTAAAATTTTATCATTTCATTAATAATTTTTTATCATTATGCATGAATCTCAAAAATTGTACAACGATGGAAATCAAAAGGTATTTTCATATATGAGAATGTTCAACATAAACAAGAGATATTTTGACAAACTTTTTTATGAAGATTGAGAAAATAAGACGGATTTCAGTGATCTTAATAATGAAATAAAAACAAAAATTTTTATTTCCACCGTCGCATTAGAAAAATAAAAGTTGAATAGGATTTAAGGAAAATAATGTATGAAAAAGCAATAGGACCTAATGGTATTTTAATAGAAGGGTGAAAATGTTTAGAAGATCTGAGAATTTTTTTTAAGCTTGTCAAACTTTTTAATGTTATTTTAAAAACTGAAAAATACATAATGAATGGAGAAAGAGTCAATTAAATTCAATTTTTAAGAATAAAACAGATGCACAAGGGTGTTCAAATTAGAAAGAAATTAAATTAATGTGTCATACAATAAAATTATGGGAGAGAGTAAATAAACATAGGTTTTGACATGATACGAAAATTTTTCAAAATCAGCTTGAATTCATGCCAGACAAGTCTACCATGGAAGCTATACATTTATTGAGAGGTTTAATGGAAAAGTATAGAGAAAGTGTGAAGACAAACATATGACTTTTTGTTGAATTAGAAAAAGCTTATAATAAAGTTCTAAAAGAAATACTTTGAAGAGTTATATAAAATAAAGGTGTTGATAATGTTTTTATTCAAACCATTACAGATATATATGCTAGAGTTGTCACTTGTGTTCGAACACAATTAGGATTGACAAGTATTTTCCTATTTCAGTTGGACTGCATCAAGGATCGGCCTTTAAGACCATATCTTTATTATTTAGTTATGGGTGTTCTTGCTGGACATTTATCGGAAAACGCACCTTGTTGTATGCCTTTTGCTGTTGATATCCTTTCTTGTGGACAAGACTAGAGAGAGAGTACAAGGAAATTTTGGATTAAGGAGATCAACTTTATATAGTCTAAAGTCTTTTGGTTGAGTATATATAAAACAGAATATATAGAATTTCTTTTTAGTAATAGGAGATCTAGTGACGGGTTTGTAATAATCGGTGATCAAATCATTAAAAGTAGTGAAAATTTTAATCATCTTGACCCTATTGTTAAAAGTGATGGAAAGTAGACGTCTTGTTGGATGGTTGAAGTAGAGAAATGCATCGGGTTTATTGTGTGATAGAAAAGCACTGCTTAGATTTAAAGAAAATTTTTTAGAAGATAATGGAAACTTACAATGCTTTATGGCGCCAAAATAATGGAAAATAAAAGAGAAGCATAAAATTAATTGTTGTTGAGATGAGAATGCCACAGGTGGATGAGTGGTATTACAATTAGAGACAAAATGAAAAATGAATATACCCGTGAAAGGGTTGGAGTAGCTCCAGTGGCAGACAATATGATGGTGGAGGAAACCCAAACCACATTAAAAACACAAATTATTTTTTCTGAATTTCAAACACATTACAAACATGATACTTGAAAAAGCAGAAAGTAACGACAAGCAAACACAAACAACATAAACAGTAAAAGATATTCGCGGGTGAAAACGAGGCCGGAGGCGACTAGATGGTGGGTTGGCTGCTAATGGAAAATAGTTGTGGTTGTTGAATGAAGGTTGAAAGGTTGCTAGCAGCTTTAGGTGAGGGGCTTTGGTTGAGATGAGGTAGCAGGAGGGAAGGACAATCGCTGAGAGATGGTTGCGGTTGTTGAAAGAAGACTGCAATGTGGTTGGCGGCTTTAGGGGAGGGGTTGTGGTTGTTGGAGGGTGAGGGTGAAGGTGCAGGAGCAGCTAAGGAAAGTGCCAAACAACAGTGAGGAAGATGTCGACGGGGCTGGCAGCAACAGCACAACTGTTGGAAGCGTCAAATAGCAGCAGGGAGGGTGCTTGCACACTGGTAGCAGCAGGATAGTTGCATGAAACGTCAAACAGCAGCAAGAAATGAAGAAAGCAACAAGGTCAAGTCGTTTGCGGCTGCTGAAAGTGGGCCCGAAGTGGGCTGCGGAAGGATAAATGTTTCGTCAGGGTCGGGCTACAGCCAAAGCACTACCCAGACCTTTGCAGACGGTTACCACCTCGGATGAGTTACAGCCAGAGCATCTTCTTGTTGTCATGTACAACCCCTGGAGGGGAATAAGTCCTCTAAGGTAGCACTCAGGAATCTGTACTCATAAAGCTCATTCCTAACATCAGAAAATAATGCCTATATAAAGAGGGAATTAGTAGCAAAAATAGGCAGACTAGGATAGGTAAGAGATATAATAGGCAACGAGAGGAATATGACAGAAGTAGAGAAGGAACTATAATGGGAAATCATCAAGAAAGGGAGGTCTGTGATTACTGTAGCAGCTACAGTAACTGCATTCGCGGTAATGTAACTGCTACAGTACATAACAGCTACAGTAACCACGTCTGCAGTATTGTAACTGCTACAGTACAACGGACGGTAAGCTCCCGAGCCACAATATCAGAGAGTCGCTTTAGATGGTTTGGTCACATTGACCGTCGACCATTTGATGACTCTATCAGGAAAGTAGATGTTACAGATTTAGGGCTCGTTTGGGGCAACTGTGGAAGCGCAGCGCAACACGCAGATGCATTTCTGCACCGTTTGAGGCGGCAGCGACAACACGCACGGCGACAGTTTTGGCATTTTAATGAAAAAGCGGTGTGCAGGGATCAACCACGCGGCCCGTATTAGTTCGCGTAAGTATTATCTGGGTACCCTCAACCTCAGCGTCTCATCTTCCCCCGCAACTCTGAATCCATCCCGACGACAACCCAATGGAGTCGATCTACTCCAGCGTCGTCAAAGGGGTAGCGATCGTCACCGACAAGGAACTTGCTTGCAAATCCATCGCCAACAACCGGCTCGTCTCCCACAAAAATGTTGAAGCTTTAAGCTGGAGATCGAGGTCAGGGCGAGGCTCTCCGACCACCCTGATGTGGTGGACTGCAAGGTTGTGTACGAAGAAGAGGATTATGTGCATTTGGTTATGGAGTTATGTACTAGAGGGGAACTATTTCACCATCTTGAGAAGCACGGCCTGTTCATGGAGCGGGAGATGGCAGTCCTACTCCGTGATCTTATGAAGGTGGTGACGGACTGCCATGATACTGGAATTGTTCATCAGGATCTGAAGCCAGAGAACATTCTTTTGGTTACCAATTCGTCATCTTCTCCTATCAAGCTTGCAGATTTTAGCCTTGTTACTTATATCAAACCTGGTATTTTAAGAAATTTTTAGGTTGATTGTTGCTTTTTAGTTGTTATTTGTCATTTTAATTTTAAATGTTTTGTATTATTTAAGTTATTTGGTTTGCTTGCATGAGATGCAAATGCTAGTTTTACATTTTTATGCACATTTCTATGCATGATTGAATGGTAAAAAGATGATAATACACTAATGACTATCATTTTAGATAGTATTATTGAAGGATTTACATGCATACGCTTAATAATCTTGAATTTATATGTTTATATTTGGTTGTATATAACAATTTAATCTCTAAAACACAAAAATAACACTTTCATTGATGTTTGTTAACCATCCTTATGGTTTAGGGGTTGTCTGGTAACATATTGGAGTGGGATTTAACTTAAATCTTGTCCGACAAAAAAATTTCACAAATATTTGCTTCTGAAGTTTAAAAAATGTGGTTGTAACAGTTTTACTTTAAACAATTTTACCAAATAGGGGTAGCATGTTCATTTTCCCAAAAACAACTACTCCAAAATTGTTTTCACATAGTTGTACAAAACGGACAGTCAGCTTCTCCGCAGTTGCTTCCCCGTAGTTGTTTTTTGGTGCAACACAGCTGCAGCTAAAAAACTGAGAAGTTGTAGTTGCCCCAAACAGAATCTTAACTTATGCTAAGAAAGAAAGAGTCGGACCTAAAAAGACTGGGCATGTTGCATAAAAATGATTTTAATTAATTAGAATTAAATGAAAATACGACACTCAGGGTCTGTTTGGGGCATCTGCAGCTTATTGAATAATCTACTGATAAGCTGATTAAAAATAATCTGCTGATAAGCTAGGTGCGATGGCTATTACAAATTTTTATTTTTTTTGAAAAGTCAAACCGCTGCCAAAAAAATTTCACCGTACCTAGACAGGTGCGGTGTGAAAACACTATTTTCAGCATTTTCAAAACGCATAAGCTGTCAAAACGCAGTTTACCCAAACAGGTGAGATGCGTTTTCAAAACGTCACCGCTCCAAATAAGCTGCCCCAAAACGGACCCTCAGTAAGACACAATAGAGGAAAAAGGGTTAAAGTAGCTTCAGTGCTAGACAATATTAGAGATAGTCGCCTTAGATGATTTGGTCACATTGACCGTCGACCAATTGATGACTATGTTAGGAGAGTAGATGTTATAGATTTGACCTATGCTAAGAAAGATAAAGGTAAACCTAAAAAGATTTGGGGGTGTTGTATAAAAACTTAACTAATTATAATCAAAAGAAAAGATGACACTCAATAGGACACAAAAGAGAAAAAAGATTCACGTAGCAGACCTCACTTAGTGGAATAAAGGCTTTTTGTGGTGGTTGTTTCCATCAACAAATTTTTATCATCATGCATGAATCTCATTAATCATAACGTTCTCATGACTAACTACATTTTTTCTGAACTTGTATCCTATTATCAATGAATAAATATTTGTCACATATTTCTATAGACAAGTAAAACAATCAAATCATACTTGATTAAGCTCGAACTAACTGAAAAGAAAAATAATTTAAAAAGATTATTTAGAAAGTTTACCACAATAGAATAACGCTAGTGATTATGGAGTAAGTTCAAACAGTCAACAAAATAATATATTCCAAATCTCAGCACAAAAAACCTTCTAAATAAATGTAAAGAGTTTTGAGCTTCAACTAATCGACTGCCACTAAAACCAGAAAAGAAAAAAAAATGGATATAGACAGTTCTGTCCATATAGGTTAGCATGCCGCCCATGCATCATTGGAAAGATTAATTTTATCTAATACATAATTGGAACTACACAAAAAAATAGTAATCGTCCTAATTCAATTCATCATTGGGTAATAAAACTAAAGTAAAAAATGTTAAATAAATAGCTCTAAGAAAATGATGTCAAATTTCATATTGAACATTAGACAAGGAAGACAAGCTGCACAGGAACAATATTGACGTACCTCCTTAAGAAAGTTTATCTCCGATTCAGACAAGCCTCTCCTATAAATAAACCAAACGATAAGATTAATTCCAGCACAATTATTATTAAAAGTAAATATACTGTTGCCAAACTAAGGTTAAACAATAAAAAAGGACCAAGTAGAATTGGCAGGTCTGTTACAAAATGAAATCACGTCTTAAACTATAATTGAAAATATACTAGACACTAACCGATAGCCATAATGGAGTCTTCTGTTGTTGTAATTGGGATTCAGTATGAAAATATTGTATGCATCGTCTATCTTGAGATAATTAATAAGAGTTGTAAAGATGTATCCCATTCTATCAATGTCCACTTGCCAAAAAACTTCTTCGTCTGCTCTGCAAATATGGACATGAAAGAAATTCAAAAGATAAACATCAAGGAACAAAAGTCAGCCTCGCGGAGACATACAACATGAGTCATAAAACTATAACAATTAGTACACAAATTATAGAGGATCAAGTCCATGAGCATCAAGCAATACAATGGGAGCTCTAAGAGGAGAGGAACAATACAAATAGCACAATTGTGAGTTTGTGACGGTACATTTTCCTCCGTAATAAAACCTAGAAGTTAAATGCATCTATTTGATCGTTATATGTGCATACAATATCTATATATACATATATATAGATATATATGCATATACATAGATATATATACATATATACAAACATACATACATATAGATATATATGCATACATACATACATATAGATATATATACATATATATATATGCATAAATATACATACATACATATAGATATTCTTGGTGTTATTGAATGGTTTACACCCCGTGCTCTCTTGTTGGTTGGTGGTATCACTCCGCATTTTGGTGGTATTTTTGACGGCTTTATCTCACTTTATGGTGGAGTTATTGATGGTGACATTCTTTATTTTTTTGGTGTTATTGACGGGTTTACATCTCGTGCTCTCTTCAAATTGTCTGGCTATCTAATTTCGTGCTTGGATTGTATTTTTGTTGGTTGTATCCCATGTTTTAGTGGTGTAATCCACAATTAACGTTCGACTTCATTGCTAAGACTAAAGCTTTATACTTGTGAAAAAATGAATGTTGGGTCTCTATTCAATGTCTTCTCTTTTTTGGAACATAGCCTTAGTTTTCTTAGTTTTTCACTATCATCCTTCATTGGATTCTGCTTTTACTTTTGTTTTTTTCGGATATACATGTAACTAATCTTTGGAGAATTTGGTGTAAGTTGTACGCCGGATGGAGGATCCCCATGGGTGATAGTTTTTTCTTTATTAGTGGGATCCTCAAATTCTCTTTTTTTGTACACCTTTTTGACATTATATAATATTGCCTAAGTGTTTTTATAAATAAATAAATATATATATAGGTATGTATGTATGTATGTATGTATGTAGGTATGTATGTATGTAGGTATGTATGTATGTAGGTATGTATCTATATATGTATTAATATAGAGTGATTATTTCATAAAGCTTTAGCAAGATGGCCCAAACACAGCACAAATATAAGTATGCATGCAATTTCATAGAAATAATAAAGAAACAAGCAAGGATAAAGTTTAATCCATCGAGGAGTTTTTTTTAGGAGAGTATCTTTTAACATGTTACCTTGAATCTAACATAACTTCCTTTCGTGACAAAGCTGCTACAGCTTGTTCAAAAACAGAAGTAACCTTCTCTCCCATTTGTATGGCATGAACAGAAAAGCTGCATCAGTAGTGGAAAGAAATCAGGATAACTAATTAGACAATAGTGTCTAGAGGGTTCTACTAAAACCAAAAAATATATTTCTTGTTACTGTGAGAGTTTAAAATGCAAGGCTGTTCCCTTAAACAAATAAAGCTGCGGGAGGGGAACAATCACTTGTAATTTACGTGACTGACTAAAGGTAGATGATAACGCTGGGATTTTTCGACACTGGTCTTGTAAAATGGAGTTAGAATTTCTCCGATAGGAGGAATCCGGGTATGCTCAAACATGTGATCTATTTTAGTAAACCATTGTGACATCTCTTCTGGACCCAGCATAAACTCTGCAAAATAATCCAGTTAAATAATGAAATATAAAAATTTTCCATATCATTAAAAAAAAACACTAATGCAATATAAAGAGACAGCATTTTAGAAGAGAAACGCCCAAAAAAAGGAAAAGTACCATGATTTCCTTTGCCTTCAAATCCTATAAAAATAAAGTTGATGGGAACAGGAAGATATATGGAATCAACCTCTGATATCTTCAAATAATTTGCAATGTTCCCTAAACAAAATTGGAAAGTTTCTCAGTAAAAAGATAAGAAAAAGTACCCAAAGCTCAACAGAAGTATTTACACTGGTTTCCTCCTCTTTAATCGTGCCCTCCCACCACCACTACTACTAGACATACTCCCATCAAATCATGGTTTTAAAAGGTTCTTAAATGCATATACACACACACAATTTGGTTGAACAAATTAAGAGATTCATAATTAATTTGAAACACCAAAGAAACTTCAAAACTCCACAAAAGGGGTGATTTCATTTCAAGCGCAAATAAGTGAAAAGTAAATCATCACTTTCAAAACATTTTTCAATCTAAAATCAACCATATGAAACCAAAAAAAGGAAATCATATAACCAATAGCACTCTCACAAATTTAAAATCCATGCCGGACATGAATATACAAGTTCTCCCTTTGTCTACTAATCTAAATGTTTAGGAAAAAGTAAATCAATATATGGGTACATATCTTAAAATGAAGTGTGACCTCTTGATTTCAATCTTGTAATACTACATAATAAATTAACATTCAGTGAAAGAGATCTGAGCCTTGTTTTTTAGGTTTCCTGCAATGTAATTGTTCACAAAAGGTTAGAGATATATAAATGAGTTCTATGAGTGCATTACATTCAAAAAGTTCTGCCTTCCCTTTGTTTTCTAGCAGTTAGCCTGATAAAAGTTGCCCCTTTGAATTACCAGGGTCTCTCCTCTTATATAGTTAATCTATATCATCTTATGATTTCAACAGAGCAGTTATAATAGATTTAGCAAGCTATGTAAGTATGCACTTCCCACCAGCAATCAAATTTGCTATTAAAATCAATGAAGGAAAAAAAAAAAAAATCGGACCAGATGATAATTACCTGCCTTGGTGTAGTTAGCTGCCTCCATTTTCCCACGGCCTGAGGGCACTGAGCCTTCCAAATCATCAAAATCTGAAAATTCCACATAATCATCAAACCCATGCTTCGTGAAATAAAAGCTCCGCCATGCAAAAAATAAATAAATAAAAATAAGATTCCAAAACATCCCATCATGAATTAAAAAGCTATCATATAGCATCTATATCTCAATTCCTAGCCCATTTGCTGCTCAATCAACAATTCCAACAATAAGCATATTAAACCAAAAAAAAAAGAAAATGTTACCAGTACGAATCACAGATTCACTCCAAAATTTACTTTTCGTTTTCAGATTGAAAAGCGAAAACACCGAGGACTTCCCACTCCCACGGATATCCCTCGAAGCTGCGCTCGCCTGAGCCACCAAAACCTACGAGACAGCACCAAATACTAAGAGAATACACTCAATTATCATAGAAAGATAATTTTCACAGATATTTTTAGCAAATAGCATATGCGTCAAAATCAGACGATTACAAACACAAAAAAGTCTAGGGTTTAGCAAATAGGAATACCAAAAGAAGTAGGAGAACGATCCAACGAGAACAAAAAATGCATAGTCGTGAGCTAATTAAAACAAGTTCTCTGGAAGCGGAAGCCATGATGCCGCCTGAAAACCTCCAAAGAAGCTCCGGCGATTCGAGCTAAAAGAGGGATACAAGAGCGAAGAGCAGCGAGCGCGGAAACTCCACAATACTGTTCCGCGGGAGAGTGCATGAAGCCGGCTGGGCCGAGCGGTCCGGTTGACCGGTCTGGATCGACCCGGACCGCCCGATTTTGGTTTATTTGCATGCATACCAAATAAATCCTAATATGTTCATGCATAAGACACTTGAATTCTTGTCTTTATTTATATATTATCTTATAATTAAAACTATATTTATTAAAATCATTTCAAAATAGAAATATAAGATTATGTGTTTAACTTTAATTAGATAACACTTTTATGCCCTTTTTTATTCATACATTTATCATTTTCTATATATTTACACATTTGATATTTAGTTGTTCATTATTTTTCTAGTCTTTAGCTATTCAGACTCTTTATTTATTTTTTTTCTCGTTAATTGCATTGTTTTTATATTGTTTAAATTGTTGAGTGATATTTTCTTGAGGATAATTTACATACATACCACTTAATTACAATGTATTTAAATATCTAACACTTAAACTTCAATTTTTACATACATGATCATTATCTGTGCACGAAAAAACGACTTTCAACTTTTTTTCGGCTTGAAATTGGCCTTTTTTTTACATGATATGAAAATTTAAGTGATATACTTGTAAAAAAGAAAAGTTTACATTTTAGATATGTAAATTATACATGTGTGTAAGGCCAACCGGGCTTGGCATGGGTCGGGCCTATTTCGGCTTTGATTAGTCAGAACGGGCTTGGGTCGTGCTTCAACCCGATTTATAATTAATAACTCAAAGTCAAATTCGCCCACACTAAACGTCAGATCAGACATCACAGGTCTTGAACAAGGAAAATCAAAGCATAATTTTGTTCAATATAAGTTTGATATTAAACGTTGAGAAATTAGGGTGAAGAAAAATAGAAATCGACATAAAATCCAGAAGAACATATAGAAATTTAACGATGTTAATCAAAGTTGCCTACGTCATCGGCAGCTGAGTGGCGGCTTTGTTTAACTCCAAAAAAAAAGTACATAATACAATGGTTATAGGGTTACAAACAACATATATATATAACTCTGACGTACAATATGTAATTACAAAATTACTCAATACCATACCGCAGGGCGTTGCCCCCACACCCCCAACCCACATAACGAAACTCTCCCGATTTCATAGATTCTCCCGCTCCGCTCCACTATGCACCGCTTTGTTCCAGCATTTGTCTCTTATATGATATATGAGTCATACCATAACATTAAAAATTAACCAATTCTTTTATTCTCAAGATATAAAAATTAACAGTGTCTTCACATCACATGTAAGTGCATCTAAGACATAACATCAAGATTTCAAGCTCTCAGCAGAAACAACAAGGTCAGACGAGCTGAAACAAAAACATCACAGCTGCAAGAATCCATGAATCAAGCACTCAAAAATCAGAAGCAAGAGAGGCCTTCTCATAATAAGCATCTATCGCCAAAAGCCATCAAATAATTATTCCGGTAGTTGCATTAAGAAAGAGCAGTTAAAGTTCTCATCCAACAAACCAAGCACATTGAATTTGTTAATCACACCAAAATTAGCAAATTCAAAAAGACAAATGTATTCCAAAAACACACAAATCTATCTGAAATCCATAATCTACACATGCATTAAAATCTTAAACAAAATCAAACATACAAAACAATTCTGATGCATTTACATACTAATACCTAAACTTTCATATTTACATACATAACATTCAAATCTTTAACTAAACATAAAAAAAATACCACTATCGTTTACTTCTGAAAAGTAAAATACTCATTTTCATGCAAAACTTTATGACAAAAATCAGGAATTAAGCATAAAATTAGGATTGAAGCCCCAATGAACATAGGCGGCACAGCAACTTCCTCATTCGATCTCCTTCATCCAAGCTCGAAAGGCAGACACAACAATCTATTCCGGACTTCTCTATAGTCATTTCTACAACTGCAATCCATGTGTTGGACACATCCCCAATTGCTAAGCAGCTGATATAGAGAAAACATGAGAAGAAGGAAAGCAGAGTATTCATGAGTAAAATTCTCTTAAACTGTATGACATGGGGGCACTTTAGTAAGCATGCACATTTACATACATGCCACAAAAATCCTATGTATTGACACAAGAAATACAAGCTTTGCATGTTTACATTTATGCCAACCAAATCGTTCATATCACATAACAAATGCTACTATTTAATATTTGAGAAGTAAAATGTCTTTTCATGCATAAGTAAGGTGGCAGGTATATTAAAATTTATGTTTAATCATTAGATATGATAATACATGGGAATTGAGTATGTAAATCTTTCCTTAGTCTGACATGGTAGGTTGGAGAAACTTGAAGCATGAGCTAAACATGTAGCACCAATTTTATCTCCGATAGTAGTACCAACCGCATGTATAGTTCTAAGTACTAATGTGAGTACCATCGTGTTGAAGCTATTTTAGAGTACGAAGGAACCTCTATTCAAAGAAAGAGCGGAAGAAAGAGCATTCCTAATGAAAGAGCAACAATCATTATTTCAAATCCACCATCATATATGGCTTAGCTCTTCCAGCATTCCTCTTAGCCAATGAATGAGCAACAACCACAGATATATCGAGTGAATTAGCTCCAAAGCCTAAAATTGTTTCATAACATTAAAAAAAGTATTTAAAGAACAAATATAAAATAAATAGAATTAAAACCCCCTTGTGATCATTTAAGAATTGTAACTAAGCTCATTAAGGATAAAAATTCTCAAAACTGGGAGAAATTCATTTTCAATTCAAACTTAAAAGCACAAAATATGCATCATAATTCTAAATTTTCTCCTCTTTGATTCAAATATCAAGGGATTGAGAAATAATGAATGAAGGTAACCATGGAAACATGAACGGTAAATCACATTGATGGAAACTTTCAAAACAACAATAGTGGGTATGAAATAAAAGTGACATATAGGAGATAATGAAGAGGGAGAATCAAGTTCAATGACATAAACATAACCACATATTTATATGCAAAATTTTGATTATAATAATAATAGTTCAATAATAAGTTCCCAAAAAAAAAAAATTTTGTTGCAATAACAAAAGATATCAATAACAAAAGATATTACACCATCTAAAAATAACCATACACGAATTTACAAGCATTCAAACTTATATAGAAATGGAAATATATTACAAACTGATAAAATTAAATGAAAAAAAAATAATTGAAAAAAATTTTATTTCTCATGTACTAAAAAAAAAAACCAATATTTGCATTACAAATTTGAGCTTCAATTTCCTCATCATTGTTGTCATCTCCATCATCAATAATTGGTCCTAATAGACATTCACTACCTGCATATAAATTTTAGTCATTTTTTTTACACAAAATTATATCACAAATTTAGATAAAAACACAAATAGCTAATGAGTAAGTACTTATAGAAAACCCTTTAGCACGTAACTAATCTTCCTAACATGTCAATGCTTGAATTATATTTGAGTTTAGAGAGCACCGTGTCGGATTAATTATTTTTTTGCCCATACTGAAGACTGACTCAGAGGCTATAGTTGATACAGGGATAGACAAAATATCTCTAGAGGCTATAGTTGATACAGGGATAGATAAAATATCTCTAGTCATGGATGTCATTTCAGGTAATCTAGAAGCAGTATTGCTCCAGTAGCTAAAATATCAAGATCTAAATCTGTATCTAATATAGGCTATATCAAGTAAAGATCAAGTTATGACTTACTCGTGCTCTCTCATTACTTTCACTTCAAGTATTCTTTAAATGCATTTTCACTAAAGTCGGAGCGATGTGAAGATAGGTTGGATTCGTCATGCATATCAATCTATGTTGAATCGTGTTCATGTTGGGTGTTTTTATAATATGCTGAAACAAATTATAAAACAAATCATTGACTTTCTGAGCATGAGTATATCATGCATCTTCATAAAGGCAAATAACTAAACTCCAAAAAATCAATCTTATATCTTGAATCCAAAATAGCAGCACAAGAAACCAATAAATTATATTCCGACCAATACTTGTCAAATTTATTTTGAATGTCTACAATCATATTTGTCATGAAATGTAGAGGATGCAATATACCTCAACAAATGCATTTGATTCAAACACCGCGAAAATAAATAGTTGACAATGGAGTTTTCTTGACTGAAGATAAGCATGTAACCTCATAAAATACTTTTAGAAAAAGTATTTAAGCACTCTAACTTATGTCATTCTATGTCTGTAAGCTTAAAAAATTCATAATTCTTATCACGTTGTTCCCAAAAGGAAAGAACTTTATTGTAATATGATGCACGATCAATCATAGTATATGTGCTTGCATTGAATAATTTAATTAAATATATTAATGATTTTAAAAAAATTTAACTCTATTTACAAGCTAATTTATTGATCATGATTTAAAATATATAGATAATTGTGATTGGTGCTTAGGCCCATCATGGATATTAAGCAAAAACATAAATTTATATATGTATCCTGCTTTTGTAGTCAACCTCTGAAAAAGAAAATATGCTCAAATATATTATTAAAATAAGGCAAACAATTTCAATAAGTTGAGTTTGAATGCTCAATATGCACATTATATATATATATATATATATAGAACAAAAAACTTGTTAAGGGCTTTCTAATCAAAATTTCAGACATCCTATTCAAATTTAATGTTTTCGAACATGATGATAATATTTGTCTTACAAACTCATAATGTTAAAAGATTAAAAACTTATTTTTAATATTCTAAACTAAAAATTGGAAACATCTATATTTATACAGATTAATTGTATATAAAATGACATAAGATTTAATGCATATTAGAAAATTTGCTTCGGTAGAGTAATATATTATCGTCTCAGCGTGATAAGAAGATTTAGCACATATTCAGAAGAGTAACAACTAATGGTGACACCATAAGTTTTTAAGTGGAAGATTGTTACAAAAGTAAAATCAACTAGAAAAGGGAAAAAAAACACAGGATTTGGCATAGCTGAAAACATTCACTATAAATTGGAGAATACA